AAACGTTAGTCGGTTACGATCACTCTATCATGCCGTAACTGAAGGATTCTTTGAATGAACGTATGTGTAATGTGTGAATATATTTAATCCCTCCAAAATCTTTCACGTCACACTATTTGAAGCCATCGTGGATAGTCTAATAGAAGTAGGGTGCGTGAAAAATAAATCTATTTGAAGGGATCGTGAATACCGTCATTTACGCGTTGTAACGTTGATCGCTCTGCTCAACGCTTTTTCAACGCAAACGTGCTCACACATTCTTATAATTTGCACTTTAGGAATGTTAACAAATTCGATAACATGATGATAAGGGGGATGTGAAATGACGCTAAACGCTTGGCGCTTTTGGTGTTTGTCTATCAGGTAAATGACATTCCTATAGTTGAACTGTTACGGGCCAGAATCTTGTGAACACTTTCGCGTTTTTTGTTTTATATCTATAAAGCCATCCCCATACCACTTTCAGATAGGGCCGCACGAATGATGCTTAACTTGAAAACTACTGAACCGATTTGAATGCCTTTTTACCTCCCACGTCTACTGGCGGGGAAGTTTTGTATTCGCGAAATTATTCGGAATATTATTTTTTGGATGTGAAAACCATGTCACCTCATTTCCGTCGGTCTATCTATCTATCTGTCTGTCGGTCTATCCGCTAATATTATAACCCCCTATAACTTGAGAAGTACCGCTCAGAAATCGATGAAAATTTTAAGCAGTGTGACTATTATGCCGCAAAAGCTTCGTATTTTTTGGAAATCATTTTAAGACTTTTTTTGTAGGAGTTGAAATTTGGGGGTTGCAGGTAGATTTACACGCATATATTAACCCGTATATTTAAAACGAAAGATACCTTGCTGCAGCGATACCGCACAGATGTGGAAAGGAACAACGCTACCACAAGGACGGTATCTACCAGTTGGGCAAGGAAAGTATGTCTTTGGACTAATTGTATGGGACTGTTTGACTGATTTAATAATTTTAATTTATCTGTTGTACATGTCCGTAACTGACTTTTTTCTCATAGGATTTGCGCTGAACTTGATCATTTATTACGTAGGAATGAAATGCGAAAGGCTTTCGCGGCCATCATCCAATGTTATTTGGTTGTTTTTTTCAGTAGCTCACAGGACTCCGAACTATGAACACCTTCTGAAGATGCCAACCACTCGTGTTGGCGAAACGTCAAATAAAAATATTTTACGACGGCCTAACTACCCAACAACCAAACAAATAACATTTTTTACTTTATTTATATTACATTTTTATAAGCTCCTAACCTTGGTAATTCGACGAATCTGTTAGACTGATTTCACACATAGATTTTGACGTGCACTAGCCCTTAAAACCTAATATAAATAAATAATATTCTCAGCAAACGGATCGTATACCTACCGGCCGTGGTTGCTGCTACCGGTGGCACGCTGCTGGCCTTGGTGAGTTATGTTGTTCTGGTATAGTGTTGAACGCTATAACCGGGTTAGACGACATTGCCATTATGCGCTACCGGTAGGGCAGGGACGAACTGTATGGGCCTGTTTGACTGATTTTTTTGTCGGAGGGTCTAGTTTGTGCTGAACATAATTCTTTGTGAGTTGATAACGACGTTGCGTGGGAAGTGCAGAGTTAGCCTACTTGACGCCATTTTTTGATCAACAGTCTTGTCTGTCGAGGTGGTTCTTGTTAGTTGAAATTGGTTCATATGTTCATTTTTTATTTATTTGATTAGACACTCTCTGCCAAACGATTTGCGTCTCGACTAAAATTTAGTTATTAGTTATGGTTACGTCAAACTTGGCATGATAGATCGACCGTGACTTGTAAGCTTAACATGGCGGCCAGGATATTGAGGCACAGTATCATCATATTTGTTATCTAGTATTGTTTGAAGTAACTATCCTAACATCAAAAAATGGCGTCAATAGACTAACTATACTTTCTACGCCTTCGTTCAAAGAAAAGGGATCATTTGAATCGTTTCAAAAGGCGAAGTCGAATCGTGATTAGGTAGGCTCACTAGTGTAGGATGAACCTTCGACCTCTGCATATCGCCACGCCTTTTTTTATAAATAGTTGGAAATGGTGGGGTGATTCTTCTTTCCTTGTTTTAAATTAATTAATAAATTACCATAAATGAAATCTAAGGATCAGTCAAAGCAAAACAGATGTCAAGTGGCGTGCAAATTTAGGCCCTAGCTCAATAAATCGGAGAGTAGGGGGGTTTTAAGAGCGCCAGTAACTTAAGACGGATTAAGCCACAAATCCCCGAGTTTTTAGTCTGAACTTGTTTTACTTGACCACCACACAGAGAAAAGAATCTAACACTAATAAAGAAACCTAATAACTGTATACAGAGAACCAAATAAAACAAGAAATCAAAATATATTACCAAAACAAGCAGCACATATGCTCCACCATTGGAATGTAAGTTAAAAGAAAAGATGTTATTAAAAACTACCTGAGAAGAAAATTTATAGACTGGCATAACTAACCCTGCAAGGCGTTTACCATGGTACACGTACGAAGGCTTTACAAATATAGGTCTTACAAATATTTTAACGCCTAAATCTAAACTTATATAGCCGTAGCTGTGATGTTCTCAGCTCTCAAAAACTCAGGTCAAAAATCAGTGGCCAGTAGTGAGCAGTGACGTAAGGAACATCACAAGGTAGGGGCTGCTTGCCTCATTCTCAAAATTTATGGTATAAAAAAACCCTAGAGAGAGAAAAAGACTGTTTAAAAATCTACTCTCTACTCTATGTCTGAGACAGAACTACACATTTAAAAGACTCACAACTTGAAGAAAAATCCATGTACATTCCCTTTTACAAGAAAAATACTTTTCTTTCTGCAGCGGCAAGGAAATATAAAAATATACCAAAGTGATATACCCTCAGAAAGTTATTCCTTGTTCTAAAATAAGTTGAAGCTCAAAATCATGATTAGTGTAATCTAATAAAACCAATAGACGGTGTCATGTAGGCACTACCCTATATTTGAATACGTAAAATGCCCAACAAAATCAAGAACACTAAGAATTTCAGTCAGCAACAATCAATATATCAATATCTATAAAATACCCAATTAAAATGATATGTACCTGTTCATCAGGATTTTTATAAAGGGGAAGAGATGGCTTCCAACAAAATCGGCTGCGAAACAGCTACAAGGCAGCTACAAAACAAAGCTGGAGGAGTATGAATGGTGGTTCTCCACAACGGCTTTCCACTAAAAGGAATCAGATATTGAATAAACTTCTTCAGGACAAGCATTAAAGGACGTAGTCCGATGGTATACAAAAGAGAACTTACCGCTGGAGGTTAAAATCCCATTACAAAATAAAAGGGTACTACTCCATAAACTGGTGCTTGGGGCGTTAATATCACAAAATCTGGAAGTTAACTAAAAAAACGCCCGCACACAACCAAAACCACAGCGGAAAAGCAAAAGTAAAATGTCGCTGGACGCGTTGGTACGCAATTAAAGAAGGTATCTTGATAGTAAATCACATTTCAAAAGAAGGTAACTTGATAGAATATCAAATTTTAACAGAAGGTATCTTGATAGGAAAGTAAACATTAAAAGAAGGTTAAAATCAATGGCCTTGAAGGAGGTATCTTGATAGAACCAAATGTCCCTATACTGCTAGTACGGGTAAAGTCACAAGGTGGCGCGCTGGTTGTCAATGGGCAGATTGTAGGCAGAAACAAATCTGTCTACGAGGGACCAACAATATTTTATGAGGAAATTTCTCAGATAGAAGAAAGATTTCAATACAATATTGAGTCGCTGAGAATGACACCTATAATACGTGAGAAATTCTACAATCAATAAACTATGGAATTTGACAAAAGAAAATCATTAAAAAGGGTTTGGTCTAGGAATGGGCACTCTAATCAATAAATAGAAATTCAAATTACTCATAAGTGATCATAACAGTAAAAAGAAAGGTTGCGTGATTTTAGCACGTGACACTACATAAAGCAAATTTATCATATTTCCGTTTCCATGGCAGATGAGGAGAAAATATGTGTGACTTATTATGTCTAACAGGTGTATGATAACACTGAGTAGGTTCTTAATAATATAAGGTCTTTCACTGACGCCAAATATGCAACAATTTACAACTATTTACCTCATAAAGCTTCCAATATACAATTTTCATCCCCTCCAATGTCTGAAAATGAGTAGGAATTCTCTGAAACATTCCAGCGATTTTATTTTCGCCGCTTCTGAATGAATTTAAAAAATCTACGAATACCTAAAGGATGTAAGTATTAAACTCGCGATAATAGACCTTCGGTTTACAAGTTTTTTGTTGCTTGAAGATATCTACATCACACGTTTCTCATTTATGTCGGTTTGTCAGTCCGTGATCGCTGTTTATCAATGCGTGATAAGTACTCAGTCAATCGACTTGACGAAATATTCAGAGACTCATCATAGACGGATTAACATAATTTAAAGGTTAGGCATCATAAAATTCAGAAAAAATATGTGTATATGTAGAACAGTCAAGTCATAGGACTTTTATCATTTAATTTTCAATGATAGAACGTCTATCTATGACTGATATTAAATACTTTACATTTAAAACCCTTACAACCGCCAACCCCCGAGTTTTAACCCCTAGAAAATCTTCCGAAAATGATCTTTTTTTATTTTTTCCGTGTTTTTGCTCTTAACTCCGCTACCAGTAGACCGATTTTCAAAAACTACAAAGTTTTTCATCCTTGGCATAGTTGTAACCTTGTGTGAAAATTTCATCAAAAAGCCAGTTGTATTTCTCAAGTTATAGACGGTTATAACATTAGCGGACAAACCGGCAGACATATTGACGGAAATGAGTGACATGATACATGTCAGATATCATCCAAAAAACATAATATCTCAATTTCGAAAATTTTCTCGATTACAATACTCCCTCGCACAGTTTTGGCATAGGAAGTAAAAATGTGCTGTAAGAGCATGCCCCTTATTCTGTTACTCATATATTATAGGTCAAAACAACCGTGGCGTGTACATGCGCATCAGCGAAGTGAAAACGAACTTCCGAACAGCCATCACCGTACCTGAGAAGAGCTGGCCCCGGTTCAGGGACATCCTTTCCGACTACTGCGACAAGATCAAGCAGCCGGCCGGGGGCGGCTCTGCCGCCGGCGGCGCCACCCAGCAGCAGACTGGTCAGCAGGGCGGGGGAATCTCTTCGCAGGACCAGCCGCACCCTTTGGTGAGTCATCATCATGATCATCCTAAATTAATACATGTTAGACGTAAAAACATGTAAACCTCGGAACAAAGGTCAACTGAATGGTTTTTTGAGATTTTTAGTTCAAAATACTGGGTATTAAATAGTTTACCTGATACTTTTGTGAACCTTTTGTCAATTGTCTTTCAATTTTTGAATTTCCAGTTTATATGTATAAGATTATTTAGGTTTATATCATTAAACTGAAAAAAGTCCATATTAACTAATGAATTTTACAGCGTTGTTGTGAGATGAAGGGTGTTCATGTTTATTTCTTTCAGTTTATATTTTTTTATTCCTCTTAAATTACTTGGGTAATTCAGATGAAACTCTGTGGACCAATGGTAGACCTTTTGCTCATTTGTGCATGTAATCAAAAGTGATGCACAATAAGTAAAATGAGGAAAAAATTATTGTATTGTAGACTACCCTTCTGCACTAGGGACCCGAGTTTTCTCACCCCTGTTCCAGCAGATATGTACGGCGTTGGTAAATTTTAAATGTAAAAAATTACAGACGGGTAACTGTAACAATGCCGTACGTTAATTAATTTTTCCGCACCATTATTTCCGTACGGCACTAAGTGCATCGTGATTATTTTGTTGGCATCTGTGATACTAAAGAAAGCCGTAAAAAATCATTAAGACCCCTTCTGGACAGAAAATTCAATTTTCCCCTGTACTTACATGTACCGCTCTCAAGTGACGGCATAGTGCTAGAAGTTATTTTTTCATGTAGTAACGGGTGATTTTTTAAGAGGTATAGGATTTGATTTTCAAAAAAAAAACACAAAAAATTTGAAAAAACGATTACATCTTTATTTAAGTCGATAGAACAGTCGATATAATTTAATGTTTAAAGATTAAGATGTAAATGTTGGCCGCGGTTCCGCTTTAGATGGCTCATGCGCAAGGTCCAATTTTGGCACACTCTCTCCAACATATCGGCCGGTATCTCACGAATAAATGCTTCAATATTGGCTTCCAGTGCGCCAATCGTTGCTGGTTTATCCCTGTAGACATTAGCCTTAACATGGCCCCACAAGAAATAGTCCAACGGCGTTAAATCACACGATCTAGGCGGCCAATTGACGGGCCCCAAACGTGAGATAAACTGTTCACCGAACTCGCCTCTCAATAGGGCCATTGTTTCGTGTGCGGTGTGGCATGTGGCACCGTCTTGTTGAAACCACATGTCAGCCAAGTCCAGCTCTTCCATTTTGGGCAAAAAAAGTTTGATATCATCGCACGGTAGCGCTCGCCATTCACAGTTACGTTCCGGCCATTGTCGTCTTTGAAGAAGTACGGCCCGATGATGCCACCGGCCTATAATCCACACCAAACAGTGATTTTTTTGGGATGCATTGGTAGCTTTTGCAATGCTTCTGGCTGGTGTTCACTCCAGATGCGGCAATTTTACTTGTTAACGTACCCATTCAACCAGAAATGAGCTTCGTCGCTGAACACAATTTTTCGATAAAAATGTGGATCTTCCTCCAACTTTGCCAGCGCCCATTCACCAAATTTGAAACGTTGTGAGAGGTCGCGTGGCTTCAATTCTTGCACCAGCTGTATCTTATAAGGTTTTACACCCAAATCCTGTCGCAAAATTTTCCACTTAGTGGAGTAACAGGACCAATTGCTGCGAACGGCGGCGAATCGACATTTCATGTTTAATGTCCAATAATGTAAACTGGATTCGAAATTTAGTCACAAGCTTCCGAATAGCTCTCTCAGTAGGCCAACCAAATTACCCATAAATTGGAAGCAGTGCTCGATGCACTCTCTTAACCGAGCATGAATTTTGATAGTAAAATTCAATAATTTGCAAGCGTTGTTCGTTCGTAAGTCGATTCATGGTTAAATTATAGACCAAACTGAACAAGTTTGGCAATGACACAAGACACGATTCACGCGTCATCTGTCAAAAACAGTGTTGCCAAAAAGATACTAGCAAAAAAATCACCCATTACTATCGTTCTAAGTAGGTTTCCTGCTGTATCACATGACCCCCCCATTTTTGCCCACAGCTCCCGGTCTAAATATGTTTTCAATGAGAGAAATTCCAGGGATGTAGAGAGAATCTTATTTTTTTAGGGTCTATTGGGGAATACTTAAATTAGGGGGGGGGGGGCAGTCACATTATACAATTTTATAGCTGCTAAAATAACAAAGTTTAGGGCTGCATTAGGGGGATGAGCAATGAAGCCAGGTTCTAAACGTTGACTAATATTGCGCTTAGAATGACTACGATCTCAGCAGTAAGCTGGTCATCTTCGCTGTCACTACTTTCAGTACTGCTTTTACTGGCTTCATACGAATCAGATTAGGATGTTTCTGTTATTGCGAGACTTTCAAGATTCGCCCGTCCCGTCTGAAATCTGTTTAGCAAGCGCAGGAATTCTTATTGGCGATACAGCAACATCCAGTACTTTCCGTTTTTGCGAGATTTGGACTGACATGCTTCTAAAATGTCCCTGTTTGGTTTGACTTGCCTTGTCACATACCTGTGACTGAACTTCTACTGTTAAAGGTTCAGGCTGTTCATCATGCTCCTGAATAACTTCCACGCCTTCAGGCGCGGACTTTTCGGTTGAGGGTCCTGCCCGGCGTGCCGCCGTTGCCTGCAAATATTTGGCGATGTCTTTCTGCCTTGCCCTTTTTTTCGCTGAACACTCGTTTCGTAGAGCTTAATGGTCTACCCAGTTGACATGCAAATTTATGAGGTGCAATATTAGGATTCATCCGGGCTCGAACGGTACTCATCTTGTATTGTAGATAGTTTTCCATATCTTTTTCCAGGTCAAAATGATCTTCGCAGCAGTACATGGTCGAAGTCTAAGAAACTGATTTTACATTCCGTTTAGCTGCGTCAAACCACTTTTTACGTTGTGCGGCAGCTTTTGGAACACTCACAAAATTTGACGTACTTGTACATTTTGCCACAAAACACTAATTTCTGTTCGACATTTAACACCGTCAAAGCTCACAGAATTTGACAATAATCTATCGTACCAGCTCTTAACTACTCCAAATCGATTACTGGTTGTTGTGAGAATGGTAAATGCAGCGGGCCAGCTAGCGAGGTGTGTCTGGCTACTGACGTCACGCGGTCTAGTCTCGCGCACAGGTACGTTTTCCAGCCTCGCGCCGATCTTTGATTTTGAAATGCTTTTAGTCGACGTAAATATCAATATTTTGTGCTCAATTTTTTAATAACAAAATCTCTCGATTTGAGTAAAAATCAAAAAATGGCCAACCTTCCTATTCTGTTCGTCTTGAAGATCATCTTCCTTAACATTTATTATTTTAATTTTCTTCTTTATTAGATTCCCCCTTTAATATCATAATCCTTACTCATTTCCGCTAGTGCCTTATTTCTTAGTTTTTCCAATGATTGTTCATCTTCACATTGAATTACTACGCACCCTTTTGACATCTGCTTAATGTTGGCTAGTAACATCTAGTTCTGCAGGATTAACTTGTTTAGACAAAACATTTCTTGTTAAGCTACTGTTTTGGTTCTTATATTTTGGTTTAATAATTGATGGTTCGACTTTATATACAGGCAAATTTTTTTTAACAATATCTGACAACTTTTCCCCACTTGATGCTACATTCTTATTTTTAAGCAATTCAACTAGTTTGGTTGTTTTTTTCTAATAACAGTAGATTTTTTTCTTTATTATCACAGGCATTCTTTTTTAGCTTTGATTTTACCACAGGTACACAGTCACTGCAGAACCAACAAAGATTTTCATTATCTTGCTTATATTTTGATAAAGTGTCCTTTACCTTAGCACAAAAATTATGATACCTTTTTAGACAGTGTGACTACTGTCTAAAAAGGTATCATAATTTTAATATTTCGTATTTACGATAAAATTGTCCTCACATTGAGCATACTAGCTACTATCGTACTCGCAGTGGGACGTCTGATTCTCCCTAAATCAAGATTCGTTAAGAAAGTATCTCTGTGTAGAAGTCTGATCCCAGTTCAGTAGCCATCTAACTCAAGTGTTCTATCCCTAAATAGACCGTCTTGAGGTTAGCAATCAAACGTGTTGACCCATCATACTTGGGGGCAAGAAAAGTTGGATTGGCGCTGATTTTTAGTTAGCTAAACTTTTTTACTCATACCACCGCAGCTAAGCAATTGAGAGACTGTCGAAGATCGGTAGTTCATAGATGGACTAATGAGATTTAGCTATGGCAGAGTGCTGAACCAGTCGCCATGTGAATGACAAGTGACCACTTGAATCCAACTCGGGACTTTAGCGCCACTCCTAAAATTATGCCATTGAAGATGAATACGCGTGTATCTCCCTGTTGATCTATGTACCTGATCTGCAATAATCGGTGGTGGCTGATTTGTCGGTACGTTGTCCGGCTGTTTGGCCTTCCGTTGCTGCTCATGTTTATCTGATTTCTGGTTAGAATTGACTTACTTGGTCAGATCTACACCGAAGAGCAAGTTATCAATGGAAGCCTCTGTTAGAGTACTCCTGAGTTCTTTGCTTAAATGTGTATATCTGCCAGTATGTGCCCTCCCCCTTCTTTGAACCTAGAGGAGAGAGTGTTGGCACTTGCAGTTAATGAACAACTCACATGTTGCTTTACAAAGACCAAGCAAGCATCCCTGCGTGCGGCCGCTACCTCAGGGTTCATCTTAGGTGGCTAGAGTAGAACAGAATTTATTCCTCTTTCGTCATGAACAAGACCTGCCCTCGAAATGTAAGCCCTGGAACAATGCGCGAACATTAATTAGGCTAAGGTCGCCGCATCACCGTGGTGATGTGTCATCTATTGGAACACAATACATGGCCTTTAAGACATCACCACGTATGCAAAATGTAACGCTAATCGGGCGTAATGATACCTAATCTCCGTTATAACTAAAAATTGGTACTTTGGTGGTTTCCTAACCGATGATCCTCATATATACATGTACATAGAGTCCTGTTCCATAGTTATCACGAAACT